GTGTGTGTGTGTGTGTGTGTGTATATATATATATATATATATATATATATATATATATATATATACATATATGATATTATTTTAGTAACAATAATAATGGTGGATTTATAAGGCGCATATTGTCATGACCTATGACCTATATGCGCATCCGCCGCATCACAATGTAAAGTAGGACATTTAGGCTTACCAATATATTTACCAATAGGCCCTATGTTGACCTGTATCAATACATTAAAGCAAAAATAAGAAAATATATTATGAATATAAATTTAATACATATAATGTTTTACAATGTAACAGGATAAAAATGTTCGTTTCAGTTTATGTCTTCCCATGTAAATCAAATGTTTACACCATTATTTATTGCAGAGGAACCCCGATACTGTTGGACATGACCCTAAGAGTGCTGATGTCAGGTTGGAGCTTACCTGCTATGTGCTAATAAAGACTTGAACAAATATGTCAACATCAGCAACGGAATAGTTTTTCATAAAAATTATCCACAGTTATGACCCGTAGGGTTCCCACGGTTTCCTCGGGCGATTCACTGGTTTCTGAGCCAGAACAACCTTCACGCAAGAGAATACGGCCACTCTCTCTAATAACTTGGTGAGTAACTTTCACTTATATTTTATTAGAAATTTACAAATAACTAGGCTTATCATTGATTAGAAAATCATGCGCAGTAGTTACTTTTTTAGTCGTACAATTAAAAAGAAATATATAGTTTGCGTCTATACACAGGGAAATGGATTCATAGATAATTACAAATTGGCGATTATCTTACGCTAGATTTGCGTTTTAATTTTAATTCCTCTTCAAAGTTGTGTAATATAGATTGATTTTCTAATACATACCTAATTACAATCTAATAAAGGCTTAATAACCCAATTATACGACACTGAAGTACGCACGCGTAAGTAGAATGTAGTTACGTAAGTACCGGTTTCTTAACCGGCAAAACTAACCTGTCCGGTAGGTAAAGCATCAATCGTACATAATAATTGTACTGTAAATTTAATTTATCTTCGAAGTATTTCCTGCAAATGTAACTAATTCAGGTTATCCTACTTTATCTCATTTTACTGTATCCTGTAATTTTTGTTATTCGCATCCTGGTCATTTTTATTATTTCATGTTGATTGGCTGCTTTATGTTCTGCAATTGATTCTTATCATGTCGTGATCGTGGTTGTTTATTTTCTGTAGTTTAGGTAAGAAGCTATAGCCAGTTCATTTTATTTACCCCTCGGTCTCAGGAAAGGACCTACAAATGAAGTCTAGAATTTATATAGACATTACACTAGCAACTCTTTTTATTTAAAAGTACGAACTGTTTAAGGCAGCGGTTTACTTCTCAACGTTGAGGTCCGGGTTTCAATCCCTCTCTGTGCATTTCTCTTGAATTGTCCCAAGGCAAAGGGCATTATACTTGCGATCGGTAGACCTACCTGGGAGGTTCGAGCATCAATGCGGGCCTTGCAACAGTATGGATCCATCCAGGCCCGTACACATGGGGTGTGACGGATGCGTACGCACCCCTCCCCCCTCCTAAATTACCAAAGGTCCACATTTTCCAGCGTAGAAAATTCAAAACTCACTTGTGACAACAAGAAATATATATAGTACGCAAATAAACGTCAAAACTATTACAGAAAGATTATTGGTTGTCTAGACAAATATATCAGATTATTGTGCGATTGTCAATGAAGCTATGGATCCTCTAACAAACGCCCATGTTGATCCAATATTTTTGATCCAATGACGGGGGTAAAAATGTGAAGTGTTTGGAAGCCTGAAATTGAGAACAAATTGAGGCTGAGGTAAAATGTCAAATAAGGTTTTTATTTTTTAAAAAGTAAGAAAAATCAACAAATCTTATCTATACCTTAGGCTTATGTGCAGCAGGTGTGACTAAAACAATAGAACCTCTACTTTGGGACACCCTGCTTCCATTCACTTGATAAAACCAGCTCAAGTTAGCGAAAGCTTGTATCTCAATAAATTTCGTTAGTCTAATAAAGAAGGGGCTACTCATTTCATTTGCATTTTATTCTATAGACTAATACGGCTCCTACTGTTATTATCCTACTAAGGGGACACTCTTTTAGCCAGTGGTACCCAACTGAAGTTTATACCGATAGTTTTTATTGTGTGTATTCAGTAATTAATTTTGAACCAAATTAATTACGACCTTTGTGACTTATTACGTGTGCACACCCACACACACACACACCCACACATACCCACACACACCCACACATTTAATATAGGCCACTTTTTATAGTCTGACATTTGCCACACATCAATTGAAATCAGAATCAACCAGAACTCATCAAAGGCATATTAAATTAAATACAGTAATGATAATATACGCACGGTCTCAATTTATGTAAATAATAAATAAAAAACGTGTAACCCCCTTACAATTATTCATTATAATACATACCTTCTTGCAATCATGAAAGTAAACACAGCTTTTGCCAAACTTAAATACCCAACTGATCATAATTATAACTTGGTATTTTCATCTGTTTCCCTGCTGCGCATGTCTCAAGGTCTACATTTCTTCTAATTCATATTCAACTTCATTCAGACATATTGTTTATTATGCTTTAATGCACTTCTTTAAAAATACAATAGGACAGAGGACCAATCATTTTATAGAAATCAAATTAACTTAAGTGTTGATTCACCGTAGTTTCATTATGTTGCCACGGGCATATCCCGTAGCGTTTTGACCACAAACTTGCTTCACCTTGCTCAATAAGCAGGCCTGTTTCAATTTCTGTTGGTATGGTATCTTTTACCAACATCGTAGGCCTACTATTGGATTCTATACAAAACAAATACTTCGTTACGCAGGTATAATTGACAATGCTCATAAAAGGTCAAATCAAAACATGTTTCTCGTATCATTTCGCATCCCTTTATATTATTTTCTTTTTACTTCCACAGTGTGTAATAATATTAACCCAAAAATTTCTACCGAAATCTAAGAGAAACATGTTAATTTTTATTAGTAGCCTTGTAATAATACCACGTTATTATATATTTTTGTATTCAAACTGTTTTGCAAAGATAAAATTAAAATGTTAAATTAGGGCGCTCCATAAAAGTACATAGGCCTACAAGTTATATCATTAGTAATGTTTATTCGTTTTGATACAAACAGGGCAGAGGTTTCAATGACCCATCGATTTGAACAATCGATGAAGTACCAGGTGGGCTCAAAGTTCACTTTTAAACATACAATGCATTACTATATCGATAATAAACTGAATGTCATGAGCTAATCTATATTTGTAGGCTGCACAACAATATTAATTTTGTTTTATGACATATACAGACTCGTATAAGATTTGGACAATGTAGACCCTACAAAAAACAAATATAAATATATTGAAACAAGCCTTGTGTATAATTCCTCAGCCCTACTATGATTTGTTTTTATTATATATTATTCATCATTCGCAATAGCAGCCCAAACAGGTGAATTGGAGTACCAATTTACAATTCAGTCACATTAAAAACCTCAGGAAAAAAATTACAACTATCAAGAATATACAGTGTGAAACATCAAAAATACGATTAAAAACATAAAAAGAACAATATTTATAATCTTATAATTATCAATAAATGGTTTTTAGAATATAACACATAGGCCTATAGAGGATCAGAAATAGCATTTTATGACTTCAAATGGTTTCAGGGTCTTGGCAATAGAATAAAGAAATATTAACATATGGATCTGGCATCAAATTTGAGTTAAATATGCTAGAATTTATCTAGCAACCGAATATCGACTTAGCATCGTGGGAATAAATAGGAAAACAACGAATGACTAAGTATTGAAAAAAGTACATTAAAAAACATCTCCAGCTCAATGTCAGCATATCAATATAATTATTGTTTGATTTTTTATTAAGAGATTCACTTGTTTCAATAAAAATTATTATTATCTTTGGTTGAAATCAATGAAAAAAAATGGCCTACAGCAGCCGTGTTCTGATCTTGCGACGACTAAAAGCGTAAGCAGTTTAATCATGCTCAATGTCTGTAGGTTAATTCCAAGCCTGTATTCTAAAAATAACGCCGGCGTCAGAAAAATTTCCAACCGAACACCCCTTCTCCTTCACAATATATTTGGGCTTCTCTCTGTAAGTAACGTGTACATACGATGCTCTCTAGGTCAAATTCCCTAAACGGGAAGCGCATACTGTAATCATGCTGTAATAAACTGCCTATTAGGCCTACCCCAATCACTGGATCAACATCCTCAGCTTCCCGGAGAAAACCATTTCATACGCATCTAGAATCAGCGCTTGGTGTTACAATAATAACTGCACTTAACTTTCGTTCATTTATTTTTGTTTGGTTTCCTATATCTTATCGTAGAGACTAAATGATAAATGATAGTGGTGCAATGTAGTAATCAAACAACACAGCACTCGTTCAGCCAATTCCTATAGACCTTTAAAAATGAAGTCAGCCTTTCTACAAACGTAACGCACAAATATTTAGTAGACCTAATAATTATATTATATACGATGTATTAATAATAAGAAAATAAATACAAGAAATATTATTTTATAAATACCTCAATTGACGGTTTGCTTTACATGTAGTTCTTCATACGTCCCTCTGATGTTAACGTTCAACAAGTGCTTAAAACCGATCAAATGTTAACTTAAACTGAGTACATAAAATGACAAAGTACATACAATACTACGTGATTGGTCCATGTATAATATCAACCTATTTGTTTGTGACGAGTAAGCAGAACTTACGTCACATGACACTAATGCAGTCATTATAGGTGTGTTCAGGTGCCTTACAATTGCAATACAATTTCTTGTGGACTATAGTTAAATATTTGACATAAATTCACGAAGAAAGTTCACTTTGTACTCATAAGACGCGGTGTAAAGTAGGTCGAGGTATAATATAAACCTTTACCAAAGTATATATAATTACTAAAAAAACTGATTTTTATGTGCTGGTATTCAATTAGTAGTATGCGTTAACATTCCATAGCGTTAATTAAATGTAATTTAATTTGTATTTGTATTGAAGGACTAATTGCATTTTGGTGTTTAAGTTACCGATACTTAGGTAATGCCTTTGTAGAGTATGCTAGGGAGGCTTCTCCTTGTGCTAAGTTTCTAGACTCTCGTGAAAGGGTGAGATAGGCTTATTAAGAAAAATCTTCCGACATGTCAGTTCGAAGGATCGGTTCTTATTAACTTATTAGCGAGACAAATTATTTGAATTGTTTGCTGATGTCAAAGGTTGACCACTCCCACACAATGACTCATTTTATTTAATATATTTTTACCTTCATACTTACTCTAAATTACGCTGGTGTTGAAAAGTTGACAATTAAAAATAAAAGTTACACTTAAAACTAATAAGGCGAACAAAGGTGACCAAAATAATATATATGCAGCATCGTATGGATTTTTCTCTCAAAATTAAAAATGTAAAATGATTAGATAATAATAATAATAATAATAATAATAATAATAATAATAATAATAATAATAATAATAATAATAATAATAATAGTCCACGAATTTCGTCTGACTGTTTGTTTTATGAGTTGGTTCATGATCAAATCAAGATTTCGCTAAAAATGATGCAATATCAACAGGTACAAAGGCAATGTAATAACGTACTAGGCTGTATATTACTGATACCTAGATATAATATTTAAAAAAAAAACTTAATTTCTATATTCCAAAAGATTATTTTTTACTTTCCATTGAAAATTAGAGAATCAATTTTCAGGCCAATTAACGGATGTTTAAAAATAGTGTTCCTAAGATGTTTGCATAGACTGGACCTTGCAGTATATCCTTAAATGCCTTTCAGCAAATTTAAATAATTTCATAGTAAAGTAGCTGTGTTTCATCTGTGGTTTGATGAATGTTGATAAATGACGTGATTTTGTAAATGAGCAATTAAAACATTTATTTCAGTTTGAGGTTATGTTTTATTTTTAGGTGAATTAGTATAAAGTTTAAAGAGCAATACAAGAATAATGTAATCAATTCTGGGCCATGTGCCTAAGCCGTGCTTTGGTGACTACCGTGCGTTGCAGCCTTCCTGTCATTCGCAATAAGCAGTATTAATATTTCAATTTAACCTAGAAATTGACGATCTTATTTAAAAGTCAAATAACCTACATTATGGACGCATAATTACCGAATTATAGGCAGTCATTCAGACATAAGTAGAGACTAATTATTTACGACAGGAAGTGTATACGTCTCTATTAAATTACTTAAATTTAAGGCGACCGTCATTATGTATATAATATATTGCCTGTAGGAAAACATTTAAGATATATAAATCGTCATTTAGAGTATTCAATAAGAATAACATTTTGACAAGACCTAAACAGGTTAAACCGACATACATAGACTAGTCGTCGAAAGATATTTTCCTTTAAATATATTTGCTGGGATATTATCTCGCTTGTATTAATACCAACTAGATAAATTTATTGTGGTGTAATATTTACATTTTTCCATAAAGTCATATATGTATCTTATTAGCAATTTCGTATACATAATTCATTGTCATGCATTCTATAAAACTTCATTATTTATTCATAAGTTTCGATTGGTTGAACGTTGCCGTTACGTCATACTACTCAGTAAACTCTGCTTCCCAGGAGCAGACCTAAATTATTCTCTCATTCCACAGCCTGGCGATTCTCCATTTTTCAACATCCAGAGTGTATTATTCCAAAGTAATATTTTGCAGAGACATTGAAGGAACTTGAGGCCCCGGCTAAGGCTTCATTAGGCCCTACTTCCCTGGGGGCTGGGGTCATGAAGCACCCCAGTAGGGTATGGGGTACATCCCATCTGCTCCAGCGTTTTTTGTCATTCATGTCATCATCCGTCCCTCTTTCAAAATATGACATTTATGGGATCACGGAGGTTTATTTATATCTCCACGATGACATAAATCTTAATTATTGTACGGTAAATAAACTTAACTATCGTACAATGTATTATTAGGTCTGTTGTTATTAACAAGGTCCTTTATAAAATTATCAAAGTGCTGAATATTAAAAACACAATTTTACACAGAGATAAAATCTTAAGGACAAGCACATCAATAAAAGAACAATACATTAACACACAACATCTACACTACATACAAACTTTATGTTTTTAGGGTTTCTTTCTGCTGTAGGCCTATATTTTGTTAAGCGCCTTGAGTACAGTATTTCTTTAAAATGGATATGAGTGCTATGCACATCGTATATATTATTACACCGTTAGGCTATTTACAATCTATAATGCAATGTAAAAAGAAAGGTGAATGATGAACAGGTTATCAACCGGTACCGGTAGTTGTTTATAAAGCTGCATAATTTTTTTTTATTTGCACAGTACATTTAAGTCTGCAAACTGCCGTTTTTATTTTATTTGTAACAATGAAACTAATAGTTTTGATTTCTGTTCACATTATCAATGACAGTTAAATTTGAATCAGGAAACTTCATGTTTAGCGGTGATATAGGACGCGTCAACGTGACGTCCTAATTGCATAATTCTTAGCATTCTATAAGGTCAATTAAGTCTATTAGTTAAAAAAAAAGCACACACACAATGTGGGCGATTAATGTACTATGTAGGCCTATTCATTATAAAATCCTTATCAAAAGGTAGGATTAATTATAGGGTGAAGGTTTGTTTAAAAGCAATCACGGATGATAACTTATAATTAAATAATGTTTTTTTTTTATAAAGGATATTTCTGCGTAAATTGCGTGTGTTGACAAAAATTCATTAATTCATTCTTCTATTTGTTTATTCATCCATATTTTTTCATAATTATTTATTCACTAAAATTATTTGTTCGTTTTTTTTTTACCAGTTTCAAAAAATAATCCATAGACCCCAATATCCTGAGTGCGCATCTATAACCTGGAAGCAGAATAACCTTAAGGATCTTGAGTACAAATTCAACATTAATTTCTGCTGTAAAACATGACTGGAATAAATATTAATCAAATATTTGTTTTAATTTACAGATGTAAATTGTTCTAATGGCTGACTACTGGTTGCTAGCCTACGTAGTGGCGTGTAGTGTGCTTCTCTGTCGAGGTCTCCCATTTGCTAATGAGCAGCCCATTGATATAAAAGACCCGGCGGTTCAAATAGGAGTGGTAATAATCATATGTTCATATTTTTGTCTATTAAATTTATAAGACCATATTTGAGAGTGTGGAATTATACGTTTTCTTAAAAACACTCACTTAAGACAGAAAGAGTAAGTGAATTCAAAGGAGGAAAACAGACAACAGTACTGAAACTGAGAATTAAGTGCTACTTAATTTAAAATAATAATAAATATAAAAAAAGAACACTTTGAAACAAACTACTAAAAATAACTACAATTACAAGACATTTAGAATTAAACAAGTTTTAAATTTCATACTGTTATGGTAAAATCAGTAAAATTCAGGAAGGGACTTTTACAGATGGAGGATCCAGCTACCTCAACCCCAATTACAAACTATTAATAATAATAATAATAATAATAATAATAATAATAATAATAATAATAATAATAATGTAATAGTAATAATAATAATAAAGTTTTAGTAACATAATAATAATAATAATTTTTTTTTTTTTAAATAATAGCAAAATTCTTATATAGCGCATATAGTAAGCTCTCAATGCGCTGTACTTAAAAAAAGAATAAAGATGCAATGTTAAATTAATGAAAAACTTGTTGGAAAAGAACTTGATGGAACTATTAATATATATGGCACCTTTAGATGGCCGGAAATTAAAAAAAAAAACTTTAGTGGGGCCCGGCCTGTTTGGTTCCTATGCAATAAATACAACCATTTCAAGAATTGTAACGTTTTGTTATATTTTACGACAGGATTATCTTCAGCGGTACGACTATTTACCACCAATAGGAGGGTCAGGCGCAATATCTAAAAAGGAGTTTAAAAAGTCGCTAAAACAGATGCAAAAATTCTCCGGTTTGAAAGCGTCTGGAAAGCTGGATAATGAAACACTAACCCTGATGGGTACAACACGCTGTGGGGTTCCCGATCCCATTAAAGTGGCTGAAAATGGACAAGTGAAGAGGAGTGGGGGTAAACTGTCGGTGCGTGTTGCCCGCTCTGCATTCGCAGGCGGTAAGTGGAAAAGCAACAAGATTACATACAGGTAAGTTTCACTCGAAGTATTAGGAAGCTTTCGATTTGTGTGACGACGCGGCGCTAAAACTCATGCGTGACCGTCTTCCTAGCGTCCACGGGCTTCAAGTCAACTCGGCCCTTAACCGACTCGGACCATACCGACTCAGCCCTTCACCAACTCATTGTTACCAACCGTCTCGCATCGTGCTGGACAGTCCCGCATTTCAAAGTGATTTTGGATGAAACACGCATTTTGCAGAAATACATGCGTGGTAATCCTAAATTTGTTACCCATTTAACATACGTCTATGCGTGGTAACGATTTATCACAAATTCAGGGGAAAAAAACCGAAAGGTCCACTGATTAACTCAGATAAGATAGTATAATCGAAATGTACGCCATCATGTCAGGATTTAATATTTCGACATTAATTATGTCATCATCAGGAATTGAAAATATTCAAATTAGATATCCCCAATTACTAGCCAATAGATTTTTTTTTAGATGGTTCGTGTGGGAATCGAACACACGACCTCCAGATTATCTAGCCAGATGGAAATTACAATATTACGCATGGAGATGGTGTCAAAAGTAACGAAAACTTCAAAATAAATGTTATTAATAAATATTTTATATTCTTATTAAATATTCAAAATAATTATTATGAATTAATATTGTTTTAAGTCCGATTTATTTTTTAAAATTATGTTGAAAAATAGATTATAAAAATATTAAAATTAAATATCCCCAATAACTAGCCAATAGAAAAATTTGGGGGGAAAATGGTTCGTGTGGGAATCGAACACACGACTCCAGATTATCTAGCCAGATGGAAGTTACTACAAATGCTATTAAGATGAGAGTTTGCCACAGGAAATATCATAGGAGTGATTACTTAACCTACCTGATGTGTTAACGTACCGAATCTCAGTACGTCCCCATATACTAGCCAATAATCATCATTCCTGATGATGACATAATTAATAGTCCAGCAAACTTTGGTTGGTTGCATTTTTTTTTTGCTATATTTTTTTAAAATTGGATATGATGTAGAATAGACATAGATAAATCAAAAAAGTATGTGCAACATTTTTTTTTTCATACGTAAGGGGGGTTGCCAGCTGTTTCAAAATGGCCGCCATTTTTCCTAAAATTGTCACTAATATTGTAAATTTATGTCATTAAAATGCAGTATTCAATTGGAAATCCACTGATAACAATGACAGCAACAGTTAACTAAATATTGTACACATTTTTGAGCTATTACAATTTAAAATGGCTGCCATTTTCCATTATTTTAGCTTTTTAGCATACATATTAATATAATAATAACCGACCTGTACAAAACTATGATAACCTAGTTATATGCAATTGCCATATGCTGTTATTATCATTACCATAACATATATATGATATATATTTATATATGATATATATAGGTTGACAAAGTTTGATAACCGAAAACGTTTGCTCACTTGAATAAAATTATATATCTGGCAACTTATTACCATCTCTCCGGAGTTTTTGTTTTTTCTATTTTGTTTGCCAATGCAGCCCTCCAGTTTTATATATATATA